GTCTTTCGCCATGATCATTGTCTCTGAAATCGGAGACAAGACGTTTTTGATAGCGGCCATCCTTGCTATGCGGCACCCAAGAATGGTCGTGTTCGCTGGGGCATTTGGGTCGTTGGTCGTCATGTCTATGCTTTCAGCCGCTCTCGGACATCTGTTACCGACCCTGATACCGAAGAAATGGACCCAAGCACTGGCTGCAGTACTTTTTCTTGTGTTTGGGCTGAAGATGCTGCAGGAGGCTAGGGAGATGAAGGCTGGTAATGACAAGATACGAGAAGAGATGAAGGAAGCGGAGGAAGAGATTGAAGGGGACGAGGCGGAGCGTCAAGGTGCGGGTAACGGACGAGCTGTCCCGCTAGAGGATCTGGAAGAGGGTGGGCGTGCGAGACATGCTCGAACGCGGTCCCAATCCTCACCGGTACGGTCTAGTGCTGCCAAGACGTTGTTGGACAAGTCACGCACCTACTGCAGCGTGCTCCTCGGACCTCACTTTACACAAGCTTTCGTCCTCACGTTCCTGGGTGAATGGGGAGACAGAAGTCAGATATCTACGATAGCTCTGGGAGCAGCACATGTGCGTGTCGGTTCATCTGTTTACGTCCACACCGTTCGAAAGAACGCTCGGAATTTCTTCGTTTACTTCCGTCTACTGACTTTTGGGGATCACAGAACGTATATCTCGTCACGATTGGCACTGTCGCTGGACACGCCTGCTGCACCGCTCTTGCGGTTATCGGTGGGCGGTATGTATCGACAAAGATCTCTGTCAAACACGGCAAGTGCACCGCCATTTCCGCTTCTTTTTACCTGTCGCTCACCTGCTGTACCCTCGTTTTCAGTGACGCTGTCGGGGAGCATCCTCTTCATTATTTTTGGCATGATTTATCTCTACGAGGCTTTCCATGCTATCGACATAGAAGTTCCGGACATTTCTTACTACCATCACTAGAGCGGTATGGGCCGTATAATGCATTACAACATTAATCTGGCAATTGGATGTCAGTTTGGGACATGTACTCTCAAACTTGAGTCGGTCGTGAACAATTCCAGCCGCGAAAATATTCTGAAGAGCAGCTCATATCAGACGCCGACACAATCCTACGTGTCAATAAAGCCAAACAAGCCGACACTTGTCCCATTCGGATTTGTGCTACGGTCTACTCGTGAACAGCTCTCCCCCGTGTTTATGGACTCAAGATGCAATCCAAAGGTACGTATTGATTAACTTCGTCTGCAACGTGAGATAACGAGATGTACTCGGTCAAGCAGGGGTAGCCAATGCTGGCAGTGACATAACTAAGCCGGTTCGACGGCCGTGTACTCTGCTCGACGCCATCGCGCAGACCGTGAAAGTGGTGTGTAAGCTGGCGGCGGGCCGTAGCCTACTCATGCAGATTGTGTACACGAACGAGACATGCGCTTCGGCGATTCTGAAGGTATTGCCGCATTATTCTCATTTATTCTATCTAACACGACATCTGAACAGCTGCTCCTCGGGCCTCCCTTCCCAGCCATGCCTGAGGTCTTTCATGGTGCATCGATGAATTGGCAGAGTCTCCGACGAGTTTTATGACTGAACAGGCAGATTGACTACAGCCGATGAAATACCTTTCGAGCTCCGAACAATTGTCCCGACGGTGCAGGACGTCCTGCTGTCAGCCTACCATCCATACAAGTCATCAATCATCGCATATGGTCGAGCACCCTTTCTCTTCGCGCATCGCCAGTTGTATCTTGATGTTATTTGTTTGTTCGCAGATTCCCGTCGTCACTGGCCTGGTCACTAGGTACAACGATCCTCCCAGAACAGCCGTTACGCGTCAGAATATCTGCACCGCTCTACTTGGAACCATGGGGAAAGATTGCAGAACGCACCCTGGCATTCTTTTCCCGGTTTTCTGGAAATCAGAGTACCCCAACACTACGGTCAGCTGGCTCACGGTTCTAATGGTGGCATCGTTGCAGCACGCGAAAAGAATCGAACTGTGGTTGCTTTCTGTGCAGCGTGGCTCTCGTCACGAGGGCATAGGCTGGTCAGCTTCAGTTCTAGACCTCAATTTGTTGCGGAGGAGGTTGAAAATTCGCCAGTGCGACATAACGATGCGCTAAGTCATTACCGCACGCGGTGTTAAGATTCATGGTCTCCCTATCTTTCTTCTCAGCGTTCAGGTGTCCATCTGACCGTATGATTCAGCATCTGCGGAAGCTGTATGACAAGCCCATGCTCTCCGACGTGAAGACGAGCGACGTTCGGCTTCACACTGCCTGACAGGACATCTCCACTCTCAGGCCCACTGTAGCCGCGCGAGGGACGTTGCATTGTCCTTTTGGAGTTAACTACTATAGGGCATTGTCGTCCACAAGCGCAGCCATGCGCGTTGGTCGATCTGTCAAAGCATGTGAGCTCATGTCGCACCGGCACGCTTCATTCGCTGAACCTTTTTCTTTTCGACAAATGTAGCAATGCAGACCTGCCAAGAAGGAGCTCAGTCAATTGCCTGTTGCTGAGCATTCGTGCTCTGGATTTCATATCCGTTGCGTTCAGGCTTCCAGACCGAGCGCGGAGAGTACTGCAACCGCTCGTGAATGCTTTTTGCCTCAATGGTATAGGCTTCACACAACCCCCGAGAGACCGACTTGTGGCCCGCACCCCAGCAGATAGACGAATCTGGATTTCCAGTTTCCGGCTGCGGTCTGTGCCACGTCTCACGGGTGTTTAAGGTCTGTCCATAACTATCCAATATCCTGGTACCCCACGCGTTCGCTAGCAACAACCGTTTTGAATCGTGTACAAGGCCCTAGTCCCACGTTGGTGCGACCGGAGTCATGATGCTGATGCACTCTCTGATTGTTATGGCGAAAGGCTTACGTCCTCATCCCTTTCGGTCTGTACTCGCCAGTCAAGACAGCCTCGGAGTCTGAAGATGCTGTAATGGAAGAAACAGCGAGCGAGGTGTGAGTACGCCCTTGTGCTTCTACACACGTATTGGCTGAAGCACAACACACATCTACAGGGTGCCTTGTTGTTTCTTCTGTTTCCCCAGCAGATCCTTACGTTTCAGAAACAGTGGCGAGCGGATTGGCTACATTTCGAACACCCCGCAAAACAAGCTCTAAAATGATGCGCAGTCCACTCAAAAGCAACCGGTGAACACGTCTATACTGCAATGGAATCAGCTGAGTGGGCTCATCGTTCTCACTGAGAACTGTCAGCTGTCGTTTTCGGTCCTTCCCTTCGAGATGCAGCGGATGGTTTTTCATTGAGTGCACTCCTTCAGCTGACGGGGGCGACAGACAAATGGAGAGCGATCAGAATGGCCTGTTTGGCTCAGGCGGGGTCTACGGAGCTATTCCTAGTAAGCCGTTAACCACCCCCGTCGTTTGCACCGTTGCTGACATCCTATCGCATTCGTTCCGCCGGTGCCAGGTACCCAATCTGTCTTCTTGAAGAATGCCACATACGTCGAAGCTGGTTCACCATTTTACCTTGCGCTTCCAGCTGAGGTCAAGGCAAGTCCGATCAGTTCTTTGGAATGTCGCCTGAATTATGGCTAGAATGCAATTTGCAAGTGAATGGCGAGGTCGGGCGGCTGGCTTTATCACTCTGTCAGCCTACGCAATAGGCTCACAGCGCAAGCCCCTGAAAATCGAATATATGGCAGCGCTTAATTTCGATCGATTGCACCCGGTCAATAGCATTCAATTTGTGACGACGTACAATGCTGACGCTGCGCAAAAAGTTGCAACCCAAATATATACTCGACAGTCGTCCCAAGTTGTTACTCTCAGCTTATTCCGATACGTTGCGCGGATTTCGGCAAGATTCTAGTATGAACAACACTCACGGCAGCGAAATTGATCCGGACGCAAAATGTTCGACAGCGGGACCACAGAGGGGGCAGAGTATTCCGCGCGGATGAGCGGATATGGACTTATACGCAACACTCGACTTCTTCTACGGATGACGGCAGAAGAAAATGCGGCAAGCCCTTCAGATAAGAGCGAGTTCAAGACTCATACAGTCTCTCATCGACCACTACCATCGTTCACCATGAAGACTACCGTTACACTGCTGTGTCTTGCCTCGATAATAGCGCCTGCCATGGCTATACCAACATCTCAGCCTGAGCAGGTTGGCCTCAGCGAATGGGAGCTTGGACTTGATGACTCCTCATCAAAAAGCCTCTACGTTTGTTTTGGGGTGTAAGTGTTTCCCGTTATTGACAAAATGTTTCACTCATGTGGAGTACAGTCCCAACATGCGCTCGACGTACGACTGCGCCAATTTCTACCCAGCGTGGAACACGTGCGAGCAATTTGCAGGGGAAGGTTACCCACTTCTTGACGAAGTACGAAGTGTATCCCCGGAATCAGGTGAGTTGAATGGTCGTTGCGTTTTCCCAAAACATTACATCTGATCCAGTGACTACTCGCAGATATGACTTGCGACTGGTTCATTGGTTCCACCTGCGGCTATATATGGGGCGGGCCCTCATCTTCGCCTATCGCGTCCAGTTATCCCAAAGAGTTTTCCGACAATCCGTTTATTCAAGCCATGGGAGCGTCTTTCAAATGTACATGGTGATTGTGATACAATCTGTATAAACAAATAAATGGCAATCTGAATAGTCAAGTAAAGAAATGTATCCTTTGGCCATGGGTGGGGAGTCGAACCCCGCGCATACCGGCTCAGGGCGAAGTAAGGCTCGTCGCTCCTTGGTCGATTTCGCGTGAAGATGCAGCAACCAATTGAATTATTATGTGTATCAGTGTGTCTGCATGGTAATAACGAGTCCTTTGGCCTGCTGCAAACATCGCACAGTACTGCGACGCAGGTCCCTCATCACTATCTCAGTGCTCACGTACTCCATACGTCAGTGTTCTGTCACCGCCCACTTATAAGTTGAGCATAGCTTTCGCTGAGGTAGACTTGGTGCGCACGGGTCCAGGACGCCAGCCCGCGTTCTGTATATATCTCACAACGGCTAATCACTCACAAGTCCCTGGTAGTATATCGGTTAGTACACGCGCCTGTCACCTGATCATCGAGTCTCGTGCGCGCGAAAGCGGGGTTCGACTCCCCGCCAGGGAGTGTTCTTTTTCCTCCCCGTATAACAAGATGTATCGTCTACACACACTCGTGCAAATGCTCTGGGTTGAAAAGGTCTTTGCGAACAATTTTATTGTGCCCATGAGAGACCTTGATATAGCGAATATGATGCTTCGATTGACAGACGCCAGACATTCTCAAACCACACTGGCCAACGTACTCGCGTAACTTGCGACGACACGAAAGTGTGCTGTGTGTCGGGTATGTAAGTACACGACGCACTCTGTGAGGTTGTCTGCGACTGGGATTGAGAGACTCAATTGAATGGCGATCAAAGTGGACCTCATTGAAATGTTTGTATGCTCTAATAGAGTTTACCATTTGAGTTGCTGGTTTGCTATACAATGGCTATCAGCTCGGCATCACGGTCCCGAGCCAAATTTCTATCAAGCCCAAACACTTCCTTCATCCGTATGAAGACGCTAATCGATATGCAACGTTGAGCACTTACGCACGTGTGGAATAACTGAGGAGCGTTCTTACCTCTGGCGCAATCTCTGTCCCTATCAAGGCCTCCAACACCGACTTGCCGCACCACTCTTCGATGCGGACGACGTCTTGTGGAGTGATAAAGTCGCGGGAGGTGCGTGCGGCAAAGATGATCTGTGCGGCGGCGGCCCTGATTCTCGGCCGCGGCACGAGCAATTGGCCGTCCCTGGCCAGAACGTTGACTTGAGTAGGAGGGTCGGTTTGCGACGAGGGTTCGTGATCACTCGAGATCGTAGGAGGAACGGCGACGTTGCTCAGTGGAGGAGCCGCCGTCTGAGACATGTGGGAAGTGACAGGCCAGCTAGCGGCGAGGTGAAAGATGTGAAATGTTTCCATCTAGACGAGATAGCCGTGAGATTCCAGAGCGATTGTGCTCGATATTGTGATTGGGGCGGAATTTTAGGAACGGATCTACCTCGAAGCTCGCGAGATCTTTGTGCATCGCTTGTAGTTGGGGTATGATGTCTTCGTTGTGGTCTGGGAAAGACGTTTGACGACCCTGCGACGAATAGAAGCTGCAAAGTCAAAACAGAAAAAGTTCAGGCAGACACGCATGTCAACAAACAATGCACAGTCGAGACAATCTCGGATCCACAAAGGTATATGTACCTATCTGTAGAGGCGTTCATCGCATCCGTGATAATTCCGGACTGTAGAGTCGGAGGGCGGTGTTGGTGGAGAGCCGTGGCGACCTGTGGGTTCCAGGCGTGGTAAAAGTATACACGTCAATTAACGGTTCCTAAGCCAATGGGGGAAATGGCACTAGGTGGGCCCGGACGCACGGCTGTTCGCAGTTCTGTATCGGCGTAGACCTGGGGTTGAAATGGACAACAGTCAGTGGAAATGACTGCAATCATTGATGATGACGACCGACCGGTTTGCTGAACCTGTACGGCTTTTCTGCTGATTTACCGGTTGCAAAGTCGAAATCGTAGTTTCTGTTGACAGCAATGCTTGCTCTAGGTACAACTACAGTGCCGACTGCCGTGTCGATCAAGCCTCCGCAAGACCCTAGCCTTGAGAGGCTACATCAGTCTTGCAAAACACTCGAGGATGATCTGCTACCTTACGACGAACATATCGCCGCTCAAACACTCTCTGACTTCGCGTATGAAGAAGTCTACCATAGAACTTCCCATGCCAATACTAATGATGGATATAGGCACGCCCTTGTATCGTCCTGTGATGGTCGTAAAGCCACGCTCGGTAGTCAGCCGAAAAGGTTTCGGAGATGCATCCAGGTAGGATGCAATGCGGTCAGCCCTTGTTGGAGCACCTACAGTTACCTGTATCACGACGACACAGCACGGGATCATCAGTGAATAAATACGCATAAACCACAAAGGACTGACGATACGATTCGCAACTTCTCCAGCCTTGATACCTAGATGGTACACGCGTTGATCGGCAGTGCGGGGAAAGTCTACGAAAAAACATGAGATTAAATATGACAAGATACAAAACATGGCGGCGCTCAAGCGTCATACAAAGTACTTACTGGCGTCCAAGATCACATCTTTCATGTTGACAATTATGAAGCTGCAGGTCTTATGTATAGGTTTCAATATTGAAATGAACGTGTGGGACAAAACCCGCTCGGGTGGGAGAAAAGCAGGTTTAATGAGCGTGTGGCAAGGAGAGAACAAGGGCAGACTTTATTAGCCGCCGTGCCGTGATGGTTCAACTTCACGTGCCGGGCAGCGGGTGAGATTTTGTGAAATCGCGGCCGCGTTCACAGTGGCCACCTTTTACATGAGCGGAAACTTTGTATCCTCACCACCTCTGTTTCCCCAGAGAAAACGAGGTTGAACCCACCATGGAAGAATTCTAGTGAGCAGACTTTACGACAATGCCACCGGAGTGCCCAGCCTTCTATCTGACACTGTCACGATTGAGGCCGCTACAGATTCTACTACCGCCTTCTTTAACTTTTAGTATCTGAGAAAGACTCCTGACCATGCCCAACACGTGAACACGTGAACACGGAACGAAGGTGCGGTCTCTAGAACAACCGTATCGTGTTACCGTCGTTCACAAGAGTCAGTAAGACGGCCATAAACACGCTTCAAAGTCCGATAGGTGGCACATGAGCAAGTAGACGTTGACCTGGCCATGCCGACGAGTAAACAACTTCTCATGAAGTGACGTTTGTGGGGGCAGTAACCTTATAGACAGCGGACTAAGCCTACTCTATTGGGGGGTGATTCATTCCTTTGTTTTATGGTTCACGCCATCCGGTTCAAGCTGACAGAGACTGTTTGAGTTTTTAGGTACATGGTCTCGAAGCTACCGATTTGCTGTCTTGTGGCTGAGCAAGTGTCGATGCCGTGGTCGGGATATACCTCCCCTCATCTGACAGACTATACCAAGATCAGAAAACTCACCTGGCGACGTCTAGGGCGGTAGATTACCACAGCATGTGAGTTTTTTCCACAAAGGCTATACTCTGCATTATCAACCTACTATGCTCTACACAGACGGGCTGGTAATCTCACACCAGAACCGTGTAGTGCGGATTGAATCTGACAATGAATCCAAGGGGTTCATAATGTGGCGATGATACGAATAGTTCAGGTGAGTGTCCGGCAGGGTGATCGTTAGTGGTACTGATGTGCCGCGCTAGAGCCGATGCAGGTTTCAGACCAGTCAGCTCGTGCGCTTTTCGTGGAACTCGAGCTGTTACAGATAGGGAGGGCTGTTACGCCTCCCAAAACTCCTTCTCTCATCTACAACCGGACTAGACTATTCACGGTAAAGATCTCCCAGGTGTTGGGAGCCGCTTCGATTATCACCGTCGGCCCAGTCGCCCACAGAGCACACAAAGTGGGTATTTCTCTCCGCGTTGAGGTTGGGTATGACCAATGGAACCAGGGCAGACAACATTGGGGTTCTCGGTCGCTGACTCGTCCTTTACGTCAAGAAGAGGACGATTACGCTCGCTGCCACGAAGTAGGTTCAAGTTTCTCTTTGGCCAGGCGTGCCTGTCCTGCCCCACGGCCCATACCGCTTTGCACGAAACCATTTGGAACCCTATCAGCTAAGACCTATCCTTACGGGTGCACGTCGAAGATCTGTGACATCAAGCGTACGGTCTCCTGGCGCCTGCAACGAACCTGTTCGGTGAGAGCTAGCTCTCGCGGAGATCACCTTCAGGAAAAAACCTGCGCGCCCCGTTCGACTTGTCGCATGTCCTCTTCCCACCCATGTAGTTGCTCTGCTCGGGGTAACTGGTCTGTCTAGGTCAGTCCAAAGTTACTCGCTTCGAATAGGAAGTGGCCATCGCCGTTCCGCACATCTCGACGATTGCACGATTGCGGCCAGCGGAGAAGAAGTGAGAAAGATATCATTGCGCATCGTGTAATACATGCCCGTGGTATCCAATCATTTAGCACTACGCCAACACTGTACCTCGCATTGGGTTGGGCTTCTTACCGTGCCCCAGGTGATCCTTGCGACGACTGTCACGAGGTGTCCGTGGTCCCACATTACGCTATCGTGCACACAGTGTGTGTTCTGTTCCGAGCTGATGGGATAAGTAAGCCGGATACTTGCGAAACCCCTCATGACCATTTTATCCGGTGAGTCCGTGGTATTGCTCTTTTTTTCTGTTTTCTTTGTTGAACTAAATGGCAAAGCCACAGTGACTCGACGGGTCAACGCGACAACTATTTCTCGGGGGGAGTGTCACATGCCACGCGTAGGAATAATACGCAGTCAAGGGTGGAAAAGACGCAACCGAGAGGTCCCACACCATGCAATGCAACAGGAGGAGATTGCATCTCGCGGACGCAGAAGAACAATTTGCAGAGCTCCCGACAGCGGTGTTGCGAGCAGGTGCTTCTACCGCGAGTTCGTGTTCGCCACTGCTCCGACATCTCTCCTCGGTCGATCGCCAGAATTGAATTGGTGTATGTATACTCAAATAGTCTTCCAAGGTCTTCGCCTTTTGAATATCATATTGGGGGTGTGTTCAGCGTAGATCTGGAAATTCTGGAAAGTGGTCCCCCGCCCGTTGAATAACCTCGCGCAATGCCCAATGAAAACAGAAAGAAAGACAGGCTCGTCAACCGGACAGGGGACTGCGAATTTGAATTCGGTCGGTTTCTCGAGGTGACAGGTCCCATATATTCCACGCGAGTTGCGGTCGGGTATAATGTGATACTTCTTACGGACGGCTGCTGATTGCATGAGCTACTCCCTCTTCTGGGTTTCGTGGTATAAGGTGTCAGTGCCCTCACCAGTACTTACCATCCACGACAAAAGTACGAGAGCACAAGTTTTTTTTTTCTTTATTCGGCAAATCAAAAAGATCTTCGTTGATGGTTCACATTTGTTGTACATCTGGTTGAGTCACGGCTGCATGGCACGGTGTCAGCCTATGATGCGCCTGAGGCAAGGGCTGTCCATCCCTGGTGCAATGTCTTGAAGACGGGCAATCGCTTGAAGCCCGAGTCGGCAATCTCAGATGAGTTGTCCGAGCTGCAAATATTTCT